CATGGAACTAGATGGTGCTGTGTGTAAATGTCCCGACATAAAAAAAAACTTCCAGCCCTCTTTTCACCCCCTTAAAGATTGATTTCCGTGTTAAAAATATCCTATGTCTTTCCCAGGGTCTCAAACTATCTCCACACCAATTTAAATCTAAATCGGTTCAGCCATTTTGTCATAATAAGGTAACAAACAAACAGTTTCACTTTCGCATTCATAATACATATTAGTATTTATTACTCCATGTCATAGTCTATTTGTGTTTAAATTGCGTCGAAATCCGTTTAGCCGTTTGGCGTGAAGGAATAACAAACAAACACACATACAAACTTTCGCATTTATATAGCTATTTAAAACAAACGAGTAGAATATAAAAGAAACTATAGAAATGCAATGGATAATTAATTAATTAGTTAATCGATTCGAAGATAAGTTCCAGTTACTTTATGAAGTGACTTTGATGCCATTATGCAAAATCCTTCTACACATAACCCAAGTGGCAATAAATAATACATAAAATACTTGTCTGATATCGCTGTTTGTTAATTTAAGCAAAAACAAATAGAAATAACGGTTTTATAACTCATATGTCGTGGATACAATTAAACAAAGGAGGTTCAGGCAAGGGTGTTTACATAATGACGGTAGAGGCTTGCATTTACATTATTTAGGCCTAAGATAAAATATTGTTTTATTGAATTAGAATAACGAGCAAACGTAAATATTATTAACAATATAATCGAACAATATAATACAACTAGCAACTCACCCTTGCTTCGCTCGGTTTTGCCTCTAGGTACGTTTTAAAGTTTAGTATGGAAAAGATACGACTATATATTAAATAATTTTCATTTATTAAGAGAGGTCTATCTATAGCCTCCAAACATATTTATTTATTACTAGCAACTCACCTTCGCTCCGCTCGGGTTCTTCCCTAGGCGATTCTTTAAATTGACGTAACTTTTTTATTTATGAACCGATTGAAATAAAACAAATACTAAATGTTAAGTGACGCTTACTATAACATATTAGTGAAAACTGCATCCAAATCGGTTATGCCGTTTATGGGATTAGCGCGCGCAAACGCACAGACAAACAGACACAAATTCTAAAAATCATTGTTTTGCCCCTCACTGATAGTTATTCTCAAATATCTTCCATGTACAAACAGAGATCAGTTACATTTTTATTTATTATATGTATAGATTTGTACACACATACAAACTTTCGCATGTATAATAAAGTATAAAAATAATAAAGTAGTCCAATAATAGTATTGCTTAAAAAGCTCAATGCTCAAATTAAGCCAGCTAATGGCTCTTACACTCAGCTTTGTGGTAAAAAACGAGGAACAAAGGAGTTGTAGGGCTATAGATACGTTTTTTAAGTGAGTATACAAACACCACAGACTTTTGTCCTTTTTATGAGTTTTTGTTTTATTTTTAGTCATGTTTTAGTTTTAAAAATCAAGGGTATAATCTCGGCGTTCAAATTCGAGTTATAGGTAGGTTGAGAAATGGTTGTCCATAAAACCTACAACTTAAACGTACCGTGCAAATAAGTGAAATATATATATATATATCTATACTAAATTATTTAATTATTTTTTATAAATATTTTTTTATATGGTAACATTTACAAGGCAGTCACAATTCAAATTAACAAAGGGATATTGGTGGTAATATTTAGAATATTTGAGGACAATATTGCAACAAATAATTAAAATTGTATCATTGGGTATTGCAAATAAAATATATAATAGAGCTAGTAGAAACTTAATTGATTAAATTGCCAAAAAAATAATATACATGTATAATGTATATACCTAATGTATAAACTATATAAAAAACGATCCATAACATTTTTTTGCCAGATGTTTTATGTCAATCAAGGACACAATATCTATAATGAAAGCTATTATTGCGACTATAAACAAAAAAAAATATTAAAAAAACATGATAGCAACAATAACTTTGATATGCCGGAATGGAATTTCAGCATTATTTGAGATTCAATTACCAAATTTATATCAGTTCTCTTTGATATTTAATGTCAAATTAGTTTTATTACATGGTTTTAAATTCTATTGTTCTTTAATATTCTGTAATGTAATAGTATATTTGACTTTTATATTCCATTTTGAACACAATAAGTCTTTAAATTACAATAGAGGCCACATTTAAAAAAAATAATTTAGCATATTATATAACAAACTTAATCTCTCACTTGCATTAAGGTCAAACAATATTCTCTAGTTATTTCTCCCTTACTAAGAGCAATGGCAGATTGCCAAGCACTGTGATTAATATTGCTTTGTACTTTTTTCTAGTTCCAGCCTCGTTCTAACTATGTATGTCAGGTAAATCTAGACATTGTACTTGAATTTATACCTGTAAGTGTAAATTAATTTAAGACAAAGTTTAAATTTGATACTTAAATCAATTATATATTGTATTATGTAAGCTTCCAGGTTTACAAAATACAATAAATATTAGATTAGAATATGAAAGGGGATATATCCATTATAAATGTTGATAGGCTTAAAACGACAAATATTCGTGAGGTAAACTTCTTACTTTAATATTTAACAATAAACGATTGAGGACAGGTTAAAGCTAACACAAAACAGTTAATATTAAAAGTTACTAGAGAATTTCTTGTATAAGTAATAAGCTAGGCCAGATATAAAAAAATCTCATTTAGATTAAACTCTAGAATTACAATATTAACAACAACATAAAATAAATAATGGAAGTAGGTACGTAAGTATTTAAATACTGTTACTCTATTAGATAAGCTGTGCTTAAAACATTATTGTTACTGTGCGTTATGAACATATAACACGATAATTTACAATTATAATTATTTATGCATAAACTCAATTTCCTTTACGTTTTCTTTTCCATCGTAACATCGGGTTGACATTGGCCTTCCAGCTAACAATCGATACGAGTAAACTAAAGTGAATAAAACCATAATGTACTTACAGAAATTAATGTACAGGAAGAAGAAAGCTGGAACTTACACTAGTTTTGAGGTAATTAAGGTTGCTTTAAATATATTTACTATTATAATTGAGCGATAAATATTAAAAACACGAACAACAGCCCTGTTCACCGACAGCGGCCGCCCATTTGGCATTTGGCAATTCGTTTTATTATCATCTGTCATAATTTTGTCTTGCAAGTTTAAAAAATAATTTGTAGAAAATATTTAATCTTTTAAAATAAATTAAAATAATAAGTATTTAATTTGTGTAAGCTATTGAAAATTTTATGACAAATACACAACTCAATACATTTTTTCGGAAAAAATTAACTAGAAGATTTATTGTTAATTGTTATAGTAACGCCATCTGCATTTCTTTATAGAAAATACTTATGAAAGAAAATTCTGTGACGTACTATATGATTTTAATACAAGGTGGCGCTAACTGTAAATATTTAGATATATTTTGTTTACTTTCAGTTTCATTAACAATTGATTTATATTTAACAAAACAGAAAAAATATCGACTAAGAACAGCTATATAATTATAATATTTCACGTTTATTAAAAAATGTTTACTGTTAGGACCAGTTCCCGGTCTACTCTCCGGGCTATTTTTGTTTACTTGAATAGATAATAGATATCGTTGATTCTCAAACAGTTAAACTATTTTACTTTTATAAATATGTGTAAACTAACGAATGATAAATATTGTAAAATTCATCCTGCATTTGAATAAATAAAATCTGTACCTTTAACAAATTTTAACCTTTCATAAAAAGTAAAATACCATCTGTGAATATACACTACAAACTAATAACGTAAAATTACGCATATTTGATTTACGAGCGCATATAACTTTTTGTGTTCTATTTTTTATCTTGTAATCATTTTTACTTTTATAACAAACTAGCGACTCAGTCTTCGTCCCTAGGTTGATTCCCCATACAAACTTTTATACCCTTTTGCATCCCCTTAAGGGATCATTTCTGGTATAAAAGTATCTTATGTCCTTCCCAGGGCCTCATAGTATCTTCTTACCGAATTTCATCGAAATCGATTCAGTAGATCCAGAGATTACCCCCTACAAAGTCCCAAACTCACAAACCCAAAATTCACAAACTTACAAACCTTACCTCTTTATAATATTAATAATAATAATTACTTATAGATAAATAAGGACTATGTATGTACATGTAATGCAATACAATGAAAACATGTGAACTAATTTAATTATTTGTCCCTGATGGGACTTCTTAATAAATGTAAACCAAATAATCAGTCACATTTAGCCCTTTCTTTTATTTTTAGCGGCTTACCGGGCTTCGATAGATCGCGGCCCTATAGTCTATAGATAAATGGCTTAAGAGCACTTAAAAGATTCCGAGAAGCATTTTTTTATAGAAACCTCGTACACAAAATAACGTTAAGTTTCGTCAAAATCTGATGAAAAATGAATGATCTAGGAAACGTACAGTACAAACATACAAGGAAACATCGTTTTCATTTATGTACAAGTGTTAAGAAGTATAATATTTAATAATAAATGTAAAATAAATAAATATTAAAAATACAAATTGACTTTATCAATCAAATTATTTTCATTTTCGTAGTTTTAATTGGATACTGGAATATTTATAATTTGTTGAAATGCGATGACTTGTCGCGTCAAACGGATACCAATCGTACACCAACTTACTTCCTATGAATAATAGTGCTAAAACGGAAATGAGGAAAAGTGCACAAATTGTCGGGCAAAGTATAGCTGTAAGTTTGTGAAACTTTTGCGACCGTATCGATTCAGCTTCTGAATCCGTGTTACTGTCTGTATCTTTCGTCATAACTGAAATGATAAATCGTGTACTCGTAAAACGATTTGCCCAAAATTACAAAATTAAATAAGTATATTTATTAATTTAAAGTATACTTAATTAAATAAATATTCGTTTTCTATGGGCTACTATGATATTACAATCGCCCAGTCCAGCTTTTGAATAAATAAAAAAAATAGCCTGTGCATGCACCGAAATAAACGCAGAAAGGACAGTCTTCATGGAGTAGATATGTCGCAGGTATTAGATTAGTAAAATTAAAATGTAGGTACCTGAGATTGTCCCTTGAAAATATTGTGAGAAATGGAGACGATTGACAAAAGTTAGGGTAATTATAATGTATTCAGCCCTTTTTGACGTCCCACTTCTGGGCACGGGCTTTATAAAATGTTTTAGATATATTTTATACACAATAAAAATATTAGAATATCATCTACAAAATTGTATTATTGATCACAAATGTCAGATACAAATAATTTATGGCATTTTCTTTGTTTATATTTGAAATTATCTCAGATCAAAAAGCATACTTTTTAACAGATAATGAAAATAGCTAGTAATTTTTTATTTTTTTATTTTTGGAGTCTCCCCCGTGACCACGATTGCTGTAAAGCATTCGAAACTTCAGTAACCAAAAATCAAAATAAATCCGCGAAAACATCCAAAAAGTTTTATTTAAAATGTAAAAAAGTATTATAGTAACTTGTTATAATATATAATTAATATAGCAATGAATTTAAAACGAACAGTTTTTATTACGAATTAAACTATTTTAATTAGCTACACTCACAGTCATAATAGGTATTTGGCATATAGTAGATCTGTATTAAAAATTTAAAAAAAAGTCATTTATTTTTGAAGGCATACGAATTCTTCTTATAAGCAAAATTGAAATATCATTAGTTTAATTAAAGAAGACCTAAGAAATAAGCAAAAAATGAAATTAATTCTGTATTTTATAATTTATTCTTGTTTAACTATGGCTTTGTTTTCCACATTTGTATATTTAATGACGGTGGTGGTCCCGGGTCTGATGGAGTTATCTAACAAAGCACTGTTGTTTCGTGAAGCTAAAAGTAATATTATACTCGTGAGTTTTATCCATATTGTAATTTTTTCTGAACATTCTAAAAATGTTCATACATTCTATTCTAGTCTAGATAAATTTAATCAAAGTGTTTGAATGTAAGTAATTTTTATATTACTATATGAACTCTTAACATGTTTTCTACTTGATTGAAAATTTTCGTCGGTCTTGAGTGTACTTAAAATCTTTAACTAAAATTATTTTAAATAAATATGTTGGGACATTAACACAGCACTATCTAGTTTCATGGTAAGCTTTGAGGCTTGTGTTATAGATACGAGATAGTTGATACACTACATATATATAACTTTAAATAGATGCATATTATAATATAAATACCCATGACTGGAGAACAAACATTCGTGATCATCACACAAATCCCCCAGCGGAACTCGAACTCGCGAACGCGAACTCGCGAACGCTGGCTCAGCAAGTAGGATCACTACAAACTGAGCCAAACGTGTGGTCAAAAGACAAACGTGTTTTAAATTATTTATTTTTACCTCTAGGTAAATTTCTAAGAAATTAATTAATATTCTAAAAAATCTATTGTTAACTGGCACGCCGGGCGTGTCCGCGGTCGTGGAGGGATTAACATTGAGTGTTTTATAACAATTAAGACTTCGTGTTTTGATAAAGTATATTTCTTTCTAATTCTTACTCTTTCCCGTGCTAACTACTAACTTTCCCGTGGGATATTCGCATATTATTGCAGTCACAGATCAATAAGGGAAGGTTTCACTAGTCTTTAATTAAAGACTACACTTCACATATTAAAGAGGTTGAAGTTAGCATTCAGTTTTACGTCTTTACTCTCTGCCCATGTTATTTTCTATACACATAATAAAATTCTGAGTGGAATCTGTACATTAAATATTTCTGTCTGTCTGCATCACGAGAAACCCACTGGACAGATTTTGATGAAATTTGGTATGATGAGAGTTGTTTATCCGGTTCAACATATAGGATACTTTTTACTGTGGGAAAATATCTCATCTCTAAGAAATTTATACTAAACGTTAAAACGTGACGTTATCTAAATTTCTAAAATAACATTTATAAAGTAGGATAGCAAGTACTCAGTAACCTATATGATTAATTAATTCACAGCCGCCCGATCTATACATCGATGTCGAAAACTTACTTTCAAACAATTCAAGGCGTAAACTAACTAACATAAGATTTTAAAGTTTTAGTATTTTTACCGTCATTACATAATAAATAATTAATTTTTATTTTAATGCCCTTGTACTAATTGATAATTAAAAAAAATGTTACTAAGAATTTAACCGAGTTTTATTACTACCTTCTTGCACGAAATAAAGGTAATCGATGTTGTTTTTTTTTTAATGTAAGTCGTGTTATTGAAAGGAATTATAAAAAACAAAATGTCTGCACAATCATAATTGGCCTTTTTACTCACTTTATTTCACAATTTTAATTACGGTGATTTATCTATACATATAATAAAATTCTAACTAAGCCGAATCTGTACATTAAATATTTTTTGGAAAATCTTATTGAAATAGACATTATTATCGATACAGAACCCGAATCTATAGATTTTAGAATTTTTGTCTGTCTGTCTGTCTGTCTGTCTGTCTGTCTGTCTGTCTGTTACCGCATCACAGAAAAACCACTGGAGGGATTTTGATGAAATTTGGTATGGTGATAGCTGGTTATCCGGGTCAACATATAGGATACTTTTTACCGCGCGAAAATATCTCATTTCTGAGAAAAAATACAAAACTGCAATGTAAGAACATACTAATATGTAAAACCTAAGAACTCTGTTTTTGGTCATCTGAACGCGGGCGGAGCCGCGGGCAATGCTAGTCTTTAACTAAATTCTTAAAATAATAGATAATAAAACCTACGTGCTCTTATATACCCACCGATCTTTGACGCCGTACCTCTAGCATATGTACCTACCTAGGTTTATAAACACATTATTTTCCTTTTCACTTGTTTCTCATCATCATATAACCATGTTGTTTCTTAGTCTACGAGCTCTCAAATTTTATTTACGAGTATATTGACAGTTTATTGCTTTACAGTTTTTTATGTTTATTTAGTCGCTGCCTGTGGAGGTCCTTTTTTAGAAGTTGAGATAAAACTATCCTATGTCCATCCCAGGGTTTCAAACTATCTTCTTACCAAATTTCATCTAAATCGGTCCAGTAGTTTCGGAGCTTATTCGGTACAAGCAAACAGAAAGTCTTTCCTCTTTATACTAATGATTTTGGTGTAGATGAAAAAATATTTTTTTGCGATTATAAATTTATTTTGATGTTTCATGCTACGGAAGTATCGGTATGCGATTCAGATTTCTACAGAGTCAGGCAGCAGGCTGCAGTCACTTGCCCGATTTTTTCCATTAGCGTTAACTAATCATGGTTTTAATAAATTGTTTTTATTATTACCATAATAAATTATCTTTTCCACAGAATCCCTCGTAAAACACATAAGATAAACGATTTACTCAAACCGTGTTATAAAACATTATTTTGTTTTTTTTCGTAATTGCTTAAATTATTTATGTTTTTAAACGTTCTGCATATGCGTCTATGAAATTGAAATATGTCAAATTATTTTGGAAAGGATTATATAAAAAAAAAAAATATATTTATTTTTCTGTCTTATTCTTCTATCACCATGTCAAAAGGTATCCTTTTTGTTGGAGCATTTTCCGTTGTTTTGATAACCTTATTTTGTATATTTGGTTACCTGATAACTACGGTCAACCCTCCTCCGTTAAAACCTGACACGTATAGAGCGAGGAAATTAGGAGTCGTGAGTTTAAACTAACTTTGTAACATAGATTGTAGACTTTTAACATTTAGATTGTCCTTAAAATTAAGCCATGATTCAAGTATTCTCAGGTCTATTACTAATAGGAATGTCTAACGTAGTAATTAGTTATACACCATAACTATTTATACGCTATAACTAAATATTTAAAAGTTTTAATATTTTCTATAATACAGGAAGATGTTTTATATCCAAGCGACGCTCTGCAACCAAACGATAACGTGGTTTATGGTCTCGAAAAAGCTAACTACGATGTCATTAAACCTCATCTCACATTTTCAACACTAACAAATGCATATCTTCGAGCTGAAATACCAAGAACGATCGGAAAAGAAAAATCTGAAGTATTATGGCCAAAAAATTATGTAACAAATTGTACCAAGCAACAGAACGGGGAGTATAAAATGACTACTCAAGCTATGAAACTTCCTGTAAAAGGTTTTAGAAGGTCTATCAGTGAGAAAGCTAAGGTAAATGATAGTAATTTCTCATCATTGTTTTTTAATTTAAACAACTTAGATAGTCAGCCACGAATTGTGTTTGAAATTTCTATTAATAAAGACACAGAAAAATTACTAAATAATAAAAATGAAGATCAGCCAAGAATAAAGTTAAATTTCACGCATGTTGGCTTGAGTTATAATAAAACTCTGATTGAATTAAAAGAAAATGAAACATTAATAGTGAAAATCATTGGTAATTTAATAGAATTTACTAAAAGTTTTGAAACAAATAGTAAAGATACATATGTACATACAAAAAGCAACAAAACATCGGCCAATTTGTATGGTGAGTTCGAAAATACTACTGATATATGTGGCGGACACGGATGTGCTCTTCATCTCTTAAATAATACTGTAAAGAACGAACGCCGAAACAGAAACCTGCCTTCAGATTTCAACACAAACGAAAACTTATAATAAAACATTTACATTTACATTTAATTCAACAATGCCCTTTGATTCTTCTAACATGTATACAATGGAAAACTTAACATATTTAAGTATAAGAACGAATGCAAATGAATTGGATGAATCTGATAAAAGACAGAAAAGTAATGATAATATAAATGATAATTTGTCTACGAAAGGATTAGTGGGCTTGTTAATACCAGAGGCTACAGCGACTCTACCAGTTAACTACCATTTCATTAATGAATCATAATTAATATATATATATATATATATATATATATATGTATATATATATATATATATATATATACATATATATATAATTTGTTATTATGAATTTTACTTATATTTTTAATGTCTGTAACATAGCGAAAATGTTCTTGCAAAATATAACATTTATTCTACAATGCATGATGTGTTCCGTAGTGGACTTTGGATGTAGGAGATGATTTTTTGGTCTTTTTCTTATATCTTTTTTTACTGAACGATTTATACATAATTTACAGCCTTCGAAGATAATAAAATGCCTATCATAATATAGCATTTTATTCCATATTTTAAATACATGAAAAAAAAAAACACAAAATGTCTCTGATTGTGGAGTGACTGTTGGCATAAAATATATAATAAGTTAGTAACCAAGTTTCACACCTATAGGTTAAGGTGTTGTATGTTTTAAGTTTTTCCTTTTATTTTTTTGTTTTTCATAATTATTTCTTTCAAACACTACACTTTGACACTTTCGTTATCCGCATGCTATTTTTTTTTATTAATTTGTTTTGTTTGGTCTGTTGCAGAAATTATTTACACTAAGAATACACATTTGTCTACATATTGAATCCAAATTTGAATTCATCCACTTAAATGTTTACTTTTGGTGTGTGGTCATTATTTTAGTTTTGTCAGTGTTCATAACCAGTCCTACATGTCTACTCTTGTCGCTGAAATTCTACACTATGAACTGTTTTTTTGGTCTTCTTCTAAAAAAAATTAAGTCATCAGCGAATTAAAGGGTATTAAAACGTTACCGTTATAATTAAGACTGTACTCGTCATCCCAGGTAAGTTTCCTAAAGATATTCTCAAGCACTGTCGAAAGCTTGAGCGATAAGGGGTATCCCTGCCTAACACCTCTCTCAATGGGAAAAGATTTTACTATGGTTTCTAGCTGTAAAGCTTTATACTTCCCATACTTTTTCTGTATATGTTTTAAAAAGTCTATATCTACCTAAGTGTATATTTCTTTACATCATATATTCTTTTATAAAAGTATACCTGCGTATTTTAAATGAGCAATTCTGGTATATACATATTTTATTTCGTATATCTCGTAAACGGTTCTAACGATTTGGATCAAATTTTGTATTTAGATAAGGTTTTTCTTTTTAAGTTTGTCTTAGATATAAGTGTATTTACTGAAAAACGCAATTTTTATATCTGTGCTGAAAAAAATGCCGAGAAAAGCTCGGTCGCCCAGGTATTTTCTAGATACAACTAAGGCACACGTAATCTGCGAATTATTATAATTATACTTATCTGTTTATGATTTATATGGCACACCTTAACTAAGTTGAACATTAACTTACTTAAATTCGTTATATGGTTTAGATATTACGACTAACTTATGTACCGCTACTAAGCTGTAGATATGTTAATTAACGTCTTTAATATATGCATGTATACTATACATACATATCATTCTGAGGTAATTCCCATTAGAATAACAATCTCTCCCATCCACATATCCTTGGGTAAGAAAGTGTCGTAATTCTATCTTAAATAGACTCAAAACATACGAGTAAATAATTTTTTAAGCAAATATTTACATGAAATTTTGACTTTACGCCTTTAAGACAATAACATGAACGAACTGTGGCTAATTCGTTCATGGACAATAATTACGCAATGAAGTTTTGCTTAGAACATCTAAATCTAAATAAATAAAATTTTGGATACTATAATTAAAACTCTATTCGACATAGAAACCACTGTAGATACAAATATTAGCTACTGCGCCAAGAGCAAATGTGTAAATCTATACATATAATAAAATTGTAACTAAGTCGAATCTGTACCTACATTCAATATTTTTTGGGAAATCTAATTGAAATAGATCGATACAGAGTCCGAATCTATAGTTTTTAGAATTTTTGTCTGTCTGTCTGTCTGTCTGTCTGTCTGTCTGTCTGTTACCGCATCACGAGAAAACCACTGGACAGATTTTGATGAAATTTTGTATGGTGATATCTGGTTATCCGGGTTAACATAAAGAATACTTTTTATCGCGGGAAAATATCTCATTTCTGAGAAAAAATATAAAAACTGCATTGTAAGAGTATACTAATATGTAAAACCTAAGAATTTGGCTTTTGGTCATCTGAACGCAGGCGGAGCCGCGGACAATGCTAGTATACTATATAAATATTCTCGACATTTAGTGAAAACATGCCTGCTATTAATTTTAACTGTTATAGTTACAATTTGTAAGTATTTCCTTATAAACAAGCAAAGGACAACCATCTATTTAGCATTATTGATATCTGATTGTGGACTCAACCGCTTTACAGTAAATTAAATTGTCTTTTCGCACTAAGTCATGGACACTCGGTATGGGCCACACCTTACAATAATTGCATTTAATATACGCTATAACATACATTTCATATTGCTACTTGTTCTGGCACATAGGGGCCAGTCGAACTGGTAATCTGTTTGGCCATTATGCTATCGTAAAACCAGTCATTTTTTTTCTTCTCTTTCCAATATTAAAAGTCAATACAAAATATGTATTATGTAGGTACAATATAATACAATGCGCTTATATTTTGTATTATGATGTGTAGATTATAATTTAGAATGCTAGCGACTCACTCTCGTTCCGCTCGGGTTCGTCCTTAGATACGTTTTAACGGTTAGTATAAATATCTTAGACATGAGATATTTTACCGCAGTAAAAAGTAACCTATATGTTGACCAAGATAACCAGCTATCATTATACCAAATTTTATCGAAATGGGACCAGTGGTGTTCTCGTGATGAGTTCCCAGACAGACAGACAAAAATCCTAAAAACTATAGATTTGGCCTCTACATAAATAATAATGTACAGATTCGACTCAAAATTTTATTATATGTATAATATACATATGTCTATCTTTTTGATTTTTTTCGCGTTTTATTTAGATTTTTGTTCTCGACGCGATGTTTCGAATACCGTCTCTCCCGTTATTTAAAATGTTAAATATTCGCATAAATATGACACCATTTTAAGCCCCATTAGGGGTTACCTAAGTTTACTCAAGGAATAATTATTTACTACAAATTTTAAAACTCCAGTCCATCGGCTAGTGGTTCGGTAATAGGTCCCGATACTCTTTTGCAATTATTAGATAATTCAAATCGTAAACATTAAAATTATATTAAGTTGATATATTTAGTGCGAAGTACCAACCGTATTTCTTGTTTCTTATTCTGATTATAATAAGAAGCATAGTAAGAAGTGTTTTTATTATTAAGGTTATCAGAACTAATATTGAGTAATGGGTTTTAGTCAAGAACTACATAGGTTGCTGTCTATATAATATTATGTATAAAGAGGTAAAGTTTGTGAGTTTGTGAGCTTGTGACGTTGTAGGAGGTTATCTCTGGATCTACTGAACCGATTTATATATATGAAATTTGGCGATACGATAGTTTGAGAGCCTGGGACGGACATAGGATACTTTTTATCCCGAAAACCATCTCTTAAGGGAGTGAAAATGGTGATGAAATTTTGTAGCGAGCGAAGCGAGGGTGAGTCGCTAGTGTAGAATAAAGTAGTTAGCAGTATGTCGCTAACAACAAATGTTTGAACTTTAATCTGAGATAATACTTATAAATTTAGTAGACGATATTTGTGCGATAGTAAATTGTGAAATTAGAACTAGTAAAAACTTACGTAAAAATTACATATAGGTACTTTATGTGGAAAATATAATTTTCTTAATTATTTTAAAATATTTTTGATTCTTGCATAATATTTACAAATCTTTTCAGTACTCCTAAGTGATTGTTATCATTTTTAATCTAGATCTAATACTTTCGAAGTATGAATGTTTCATGAATGGACTAAAAATAATGCTAAAGTGGAGATTGTCAGAAATAATGATAAGGTGTGAGCGCGTTCCCACGTGCGAGCCGGCCTGCCTTGGACGGCCTTGCCGATTTACTTTTGCTTTACAAACACCGTTCGGCTAATTTAGGTGCATCTAAAATATTAAATATTATAAAGTTTTAGAATTGTCATTTGTTTTTAATAGTTTCGTTTATCCTGTGGCTAGTTTTACACGAAGGTTCTTTTGGAGAATTCTGCTAAATAATTTTTAGAAAAATCGCGGTATGTTAGGTTCAATATTATAGGTATAATATTGAAGAACTTCTTACTTAGAAGTTCTTCAGAAAATACGTAAAGTTAACAGTATAGTGCCTGATGAATGTGCATGTATTCTATAACAGAAAAACTTATCATTATTGATACAGAGGTGGAATCTATAGTTTTCAGAATTCTTGTCTGTCTGTCTGTCTGTGATCGCGTCCCGAGAAAACCACTGGATAGATTTTGATGAAATTTGGTATGTTGATAGCTGGTTATCAGGGTCAATTATCCGGGTTTTAAACCTTATAATGTACGTCTGTCCATCAGTCCGTATGTTACAGTGACTTTGAATGATAAATAAATCTTAATAACAAAAAGTATAAAAGATCTCTTCTTTAAATCTTTAAAATTTAGATGTTTAGCTCAGATATATAAATCCATATATATGAGCGTTGGGAACGAAGTGAACAAACATTCGTCGGATGCGACAATAAATTGCACTCGATTGCGCTGAACGTATTGCATCTGTTGCTAGCATTGGAGTGTTGCGAGTTTGCGACCCCGTTTACTTTATACCACTTTTTAATCTTGTTTCGTATGAACAGCGAGCCGTACTGCCAGCATTGTCTATCAAATACCTTGGAGCTAGTATTTTATAACTTTAATAAGTAATAATCGGACTATTATCCATACTTAATATTATAAATGTTAAAGTGTGTTTGTTTGTTTATTCTACTTTTACGTCTAAACGGAATGAAGGATTGGCGTGATTTTTTATGTGGAGATAGTAACAGGGCTGGAGAGTGACATAGGCTACTTTTTACCACGGGAGATCTCATTCATGCTACATATATAGTCTATCTATTCCATACTAACGGTTAAAACATATTTTACC